AGCGTACAAGGATAAAAATTTGCTTCAAGTACTTCCTTGGCGGTCCAGTGGCTGACGCCATGCTTCCAATGCAAGGGAGCCTGGGTTAAATTCCTGGTCAGGGAACTAAATCCCACATTCAGCAGCTAAGACTCATGCAGCCAAATAAACAAAAGTAAATACATATTTTAAAATTTTTGTTTGAAAATTATAACATTGCAGAAAAAAAAATTATATTGCTATTTGCTTCCTAATATCCTGAAGGCCTAATCTGACCAGAGTTTGTATTTCTCTCAAATTAATGCCAGACTATTCATGGCACCATAATAAATCCTTAGCTATGGGATTTTGCCATGCTAAATTATGCACTGTAGTGAAAAGTGGGTTTATAAACCCTATTGGCTGCCTCAAGTCAATTTCATCTATTGAACTAATAAGCTTGGAGGCAGATCTCCTACATAGCAATGCTGAATCCCACAGGAAGTATTTCTCACTAGTGATAACTTACTAGCAGAATTCGTAAGAAAACACTTGTTAGGTCTCCTGGGAGGTCAGGAAGTCCTCAGATCAGGACATTGGGTTAAAATATGACAGTAATATGTATGTGACCATAAGAGGCTCAGCATCAGTATACAGGCCTTTCTTAACCATCTAATCTAAGGTGCCGCTTCATCCAAGTCACAGTCTTCACCATTAGCACATTTAATTTTAAAAACTACTAAAATTATTTGTTTATTTTCTCTTACCCTTGCTTTGGAAAGTTAATTCCCTATGAGCAAGGACCTTTTATGTTTTATTTACATCTACAAATGTAGCATCTTGAACATGATAGATGTTCTAAATGAATCTCTTTGGTACCTTTTTATCCACTTATATATTTTTATTACTTTAATGTCATAGGGATCACATAGTACCCGCTTCTTGCTCTGTCTCTCAAATATCTTTGACTAACAGATTTTTACCTAGGTCCTGGGGATGGATTTAGGGAGAATTGTAGAAGTCTGGGTAAAAGAAAATTAAATTCTAAAGAAGCAATATTCTAGGCATGTTTCAGTCATATTAAAGCTAATATTTTAGATGTAGAATGCATTGTCTTAGCAAGGCTAAGTGACCAAAATGTTGATTTGATTTTAAATTTGCACTTAATGTTATTTAAATCGACATATTTCCTATTGTTGTATAGTGTTTTTTTTTTTTTAATATGTTCAGATATTAAACCACAAAGAGACAGGATTGTGCTGTGTCATTCACGGGAAAGATAATGGGTACCTAAAACTCAGCCAGAAACATGAGAACTCTTAAAGTAGTTTTCTGCAATCAACAAACTGTTGCCACACACACCCAGCTTCATTATTACTGGGAAGGTTTTTTTTTTAATCTAAAATATTTTGGCACCTTTTATGCTCAGATAGCTATATTTAGTTATTTTTGTGATGTGACTCTTGCTGTCATCTGGTATTAGCACACATTTTCAAGGTCATTGTGTTCTGGCATTGGATTGGTTGAAATGGTCCAATAGGAAGAAGACAGACCCACTGCCAGAACTCGAGCGATCCACTAGAGGGCAGCAAAATACAAACTAAATTTGCCCCTAGAAAGACACGTCCTGACAAAAATGCGCTCTAAATGATTCCTTAAACGCAAAAAATTCACATTAGATCAGTCGTAAAATAATTTAGGCACAAGTATTTTTCGTTTCTTGGAAACACTGGTCCAAGAGCAAAATGAAGACAGAATTGTGTGAAGAGCTCTTTTACTAATTGTATATGGGGCAATCGACAATATGCCTCTCTGGTCCTCTTCTATGATACATGGATTTGTACAAAATGATTCTCAGCATTCTTTTCAACTCTAAAATTACATGGTTTTATGATTAATGATTCTATTTAAGTCATTTAAAATCTTTTTGATTAGGCTATTATATTATTTAATCAACTGTGACTTAACATTAATGGAGATTCTGTTTGGGTATTCTCAAACTGTTATTTCATGGAAGACTTAGGTCCCTGATTTGCACTGATTTACCTTCTTAATAAAATTACACTTCTGTCCCCAAATTGTCACTTGTATATAATCTAGTGACAATCGTGGTTATAGTGTTTTCTGGAATAAATTTTATGATTTGAGCCATCAATGCAATCTGTATTTTTTAAAAAATAAAAACATAATGCTATTGTAAATACCCAGGTTGTTCTTAGTTTCCATTTATTAATATTTTCCTTTTAAAGTACTGCATATATGAACTCAGTATTAGCCACTGTACCAAAATTCTAAATGATTAAGAAGGTTTTGTATATATTATATACCCAGGTCTCCTTCATTGCAGGTGGATTCTTCACTGTCTGGGCCACCAAGGAAGCCATATACATATATTTTTTTTTCTTAAAGCATTGATTTGAAGACCAAGGAAACAGTGACTGTGAGTAGATAAAAGAATGTGTTAAAAATATGAACTACCGTGATGTCATCAATCATTTAGTCAATCAATCACTTTGAGCTTCCAGATGTGACTAATTTTGACAGTCAATGAATTCACACTGTTCACATTTGTTCAGTGAATGTCATTATAAATATCCATAATAATAACCCACCTTCAGTTTATGCCTGAGCTATTATTAAAACCGAATCTCTTTTCTAAATAGCATTTTTCATGAGCACCAATGGATAAAACTGTCAGCAGTTTAGTAAAAGCAGAAACCATTTCCAAACCCAGACTGATAATGCAGTCATATTTATCAGTACACCACATGTTTAAATATTTTCAGCCCTCATTTAGGATACATTTTCCTCCTATATGCATAAGAAAGGAAGTAATATGCCTGGCTGGCAATGAATTTGAGGGATGAAGGAAAACATCCTTTAAAACATAGTAAACTTTTAATTGGGCTTCCCTCGTGTCTTAGTGGTAAAGAATCTGCCCATAATGCAGGAGATGTGGGTTCGATCCCTGGATTGGGAAGGTCCCTTGGAGAGAGAAGTGGCAATCCACTCCAAGATTCTTGCTTGGAAAATTTCATGGACAGAGGAGCCTGGTGGGCTACAGTCCATGGGGTCGCAAGAGTCAGACACAACTTAGTGACTTAAAAAAAAGTGAAGGTCGCTCAGTCATGTCCAACTCCTTGTGACCTCATGGCCTACACAGTCCATGGAATTCGCCAGGCCAGAATACTGGAGTGGGTAACCATTTCCTTCTCCAGGGGATCCTCCCAACTCAGGGACTGAGCGCAGGTCTCCCACATTGCAGGTGGATTCTTTTACCAGCTGAGACACCAGGGAAGCCCAAGTGACTAAACCACCACGCAAACCTATTATTACCATCAGAAGCCAGAGGAGGAAGAATAACATTATAGGTACTCTTGACTCTGCTCTAGCACATTAGCTCACCTGATGTCAATAAGTCTGGTACCCCTTTTTTCTATGACTCTGAGGTCCTTAGCTTCCACTTCAGACAATCGTAGACCCAGCTCATCTCAATGCCTGATGTCAGCAGCTTGAGATGATAAATCACTCATTTTAATGTATTTGCTTTTCTACTGGAGGGTGAGAAACATGAGACCTCAGCCTCAGAGTCAACAATTTCAGATATAAGTTGCAGTTTCACAACACTAGTAAGATAAGCCTTTCAGACATTGTAGTATTACTTATACAGCTTAATGAGGAAAATACTGGTAACTTAGGTGCAAATTCTGCTTGTCTTTATTCTGTACCTCCATACTCTTATCTGTAAAATGGGGATATAGCCATACCAGTTTTTAAGGTTGTTTTAAGAATTAAATAAGTTGATATTTGTAAAACTATTACAATTATTATTTAAGCTCAGAATATTAAAATGGTTTCAATTCTTCCTATGTTTTTCCAAGATGTAGCCAAGAGTACGAGATCAGAGTTCCTACTAACAGTTCACTGTTGACCTTTAACAAGTCAGTTTCTCTCTCTCCATCTCATTTTCTCGATCAAGGTCTAAAACAATGCTTCAAAAGTAATTCATGTTCTAAGATGGTCTCAATGGATGTTGTGGAATGAACAAACTTCAAAATGAGGATATTGGAGCAAAGAGACCAGCAGGAAACCCTCTAACTTTAATACTTCTTGTGATTCATTATCTCTCAATAAGACCCTGGGTAACACAGGAAATGCCATTGGTTATCCACATTGGGAAACACCACTGCAAAACTCCATACCGTTTACTAAAAAAGAATGTTGACAGTATCTACACAAAATATCCACATAGACAAATGTGTGTGTGTTAGTAACAGTTGTGTCTGACTCTGCAACCCCTTGGACTGTAGCCTGCAGGCTCTTTTGTCTGTGGAATTCCCCAGGCAAGGATACTGGGGGTTGCCATTCCCTTCTTCAGGGGATCTTCCCTATCCTTTGCAGGCAGATTCTTTACAGTCTGAGCTACCAGGGACGCCCCCTCATAGCCAAAGCTATGGTTTTTTCCAATAGTCGTGTATGGATGTGAGAGTTGGATCATAAAGGCTAAGTGCCAAAAAGTTGAGGCTTTTGAATTGTGCTGCTGGAGAAGGCTCTTGAGAGTCCCTTGGACAGTAAGGAGATCAAACCAGGCAATCCCAAAGGAAAGCAATCCTGAATATCCATTTAAAGCACCAATGCTGAAGCCTTAACTCTAATACTTTGGCCACATGATGCAAAGAGCCAACTCAGTGGGAAAAACTCTGATGCTGGGAAAGATTGAGGGCAGAAGGAGAAGGGGCTGACAGAGGATGAGATGGTTGGATGGCATCATTGACTCAGTGGACATGAGTTTGAGCAAACTCTGGAAGATAATGAAGGACAGGGAAGCCTGGAGTGCTACAGTCAGTGAGGTCACAAAGACTGCGACACTACTGAGCGACTGAACAACACAAAATATAGCATCCTTTATCATGGTAATTAATCCAGTATCATCTCTGCCAATACTGGACCTGAGTAAACAAAGGCCTGAGAAGAATGAAAACACATTTATTTTGTACAAAGGGGCTATCAGTGTCCGAGAGACCCCGTGGCAGAGCGCGCCCTCAGAGGAGCAGGAGGGGGCCCAGCAGCAGCTCGCCCTGGCCCAGCAGGCGGCCCCGCTCCAGTCCGCGGCCCCGGTTCTCGGCCTTGACGCGCACGGCCAGGCGGCGCACCTCGTCCTCCGAGAGCCCGTCCAAGCACAAGTCCTGCTCCAAGACGGCCCTGCGACTCCGCCGGACCACGGCGCCCCGCGGCTTCAGGACGAAGCTGATTCTGCAGCCTACCGGGGCGCGGGGCTCGGCTGCTCCTCCAGTCGGGCCCTCGGCACGGAGCAACCGGACGCGGAGGCGCCCGCTGGCCCTACTGTACTCAGCGGCCAGGCGCAGGGCGCCCCCGGCGCGGCCCAGAGTTACGGTGCCCTCGGCCTCCAGGCGCTCGGGACGCGAGCTGGGAGTTGGCGAGGGGGACGCGCCGGGGGCCCGCTCCGGGGAGCCGGAGCCGGGGGGGCCCTCGTTCTCGTCCTCGTCGTCTCCGTCCTTGCGGCGGGTGTGCGGGCTCTCGAGCAGCGCGCAGAAGCCGTAGGCGGTGCGCGCCCGGGGCAGGTGCGGCAGCGAGAGTGCGGCCTGCGAGCGCGGGTCCCAGTCCGTGCGCCCCGCGCCGTCGTCGGCTCCTCGAAGCCAAAGGTCCGGCTCAGCAGCGCACCTCCGGGGCAGCGCGGCGGCCGAGGGCGAGGACTCGGGAGCATAGGGGGTGGGCAGCCGCGGCGGGATGAAGAACTCGGGGATGCGGTTCGGGGTGAGCACATTGGAGAAGGCAGGCTCCAGAGGCGCGCTGCCCGCCGCCGAGGCGCGGAGTTTCCCGAGGAGCCCCATCCTCCGAGGCTGGGGCTGGGAGTGGCGGGAAGAAGCGCTCCTGCGGGGGAGAGAAGCGAATGAGTTTGGGGGCCTCTCGAGATTGGCTGGACACCTATCCAGAGCCCTCGGGGGTACCAAGCGCCAACAATCCCCTGCCAGTCCGGCGAGCTCGCGCGCGCCCACAAAACCACCCGCCNGTGGCTCCTCCTGCCTTCCTTGGAACCCAGCAAACTGCCCCTCACGCTGCTATTGCAGATGTTTCAGTGTTTCTCTGATGTCTTCTCTGTTCCTCAGGGCTGTACACTTTGGGTTTGTTGCCTTAATCTAGACCTGCCCTCGCTGTTCTAAGTCAGAGCTTTTCAACATGTTTGCCTCGCGTTGTCCTTGGTGCCAAGAGGCACTATACTTGTGCAATAGTTTCCTGAATCCTTGGATTATTGCATTCTAATCCTCAGAGAGATTTAAAATAATTATTATTCTTTCTAGGATATTCGGCTTGCTCCCCGCTTTTAAGCTCAAAGAGCCTCAGACGAGTCCCGGGGAGAGTTAAGCAAGGCTATGGCCTATCCTAATATACCTGGGGTCCAGCGTCATACAGGTCTCCGCACCGTTCTGCCTGGGGCACCAAACTGTAGAGGTGCACGGCCTCTGGGGAAATCAAAGTTCCTCCTGCGGGGTTCAGTAAAGTTTAAAGGCCGTCGGCCTGAACCTTTATACCTGAAGCCTGGGAAGCCTGCCAATGGGCGGGCCGGATTGGTACTGCTAGGTAACCTGACGCCAAGCCTTCCAACTTTCACTCTGCCACGTGGCTGAATCCGCAGTGCAAATTCTAGGCATTCAGTTCTGAATGTGAGTGCTTCTGTTTACTTATGTGCAAAAGAGGGCTCAGTCTTTACTATATGGCAAAGTCATTGTGAGGATCAATGGGCATACTGAATTGAATCACAGAAGCTCTCTATACCCACCATGAAGAGGATACAAAACTCGATTTTGTCTCATTCTTAGTTAATATACTCCCCCCAATCCAGCCTTTAGTCTGCCCAGGTTTCAAAGTTCCCTACCTGCCTTCTGGCTTTCTGTTCTGATTTTAAATCATTTTCCTTTGTTGACTACAAACCACTGTGTGTACAGGGAACCTTATAGGTTGCTGGAAATATTCTGCATCTTGATCTGGGTGAAAAAGATATTGAAAAAGATATTCATATGAAAAAGATATTCTAGCATGCATTTAAGATTAGATATAAGATTATGTATCTTATACCTCAATTTAAACAATAACAACCCGATTCTTAAACCTTGTGTGCTGATTTTTAAATTTGGAAATTATATTCCTGCACACAGCTGGGCTGTTGGACCCATCTTTTGGAGGCACCCTAACCACATCTGGCCTTTCTAGACAGTGCTCACCTGAGAGATCTTTTCCTTCCTTTTGAAAACTGACCTAAGTTCACATTCTAAGTGGCCTTCTTCCAACTAGCTTAGGTTGAAAGAGATCTGAGGCCTTTTGTTTGAGTGTATGTTATTTCTGGGCTTCCTTGGTGGCTCAGTGGTAAAGAATCTGCCTGCAAAGCAGATGTAGGTACCATCCTTAGGTCAGGAAGGTCTCCTGGAGAAGGAAATGGCAACCCACTCCAGTATTCTTGCTTGGAAATCCCATGGACAGAGGAGTCTGATGGGCTACAGTTCATAGGGTCTCAAAAGAGTCAGACAACTAACTGAGTTAGTTGTCTAAGACAACTAAGAAAAGAATCAGACAATTCATAAAAGAGTCAGACAAAGCAAGAGAGTCAGACTTAACAACTAAACAGCAACATGCTATTTATGCTTAAGACTCAGTTCAGTCTCTCGGTCGTGTCTGACTCTTTGTGACCCCATGGACTGCCGCATGCCAGGCTTCCCTGTCCATCACCAACTCCAACAGTGATCATCCTTTCACTTTTGAGACTGCATCCAAGAACTTCATTTCAGACTCTTTTGTTGACTATAATGGCTACTCCATTTCTTCTAAGGGATTCTTGCCCATAGAATGACCATTCTTGCCCATGGTCATTTGAGTTAAATTCACCCATTCCACTCCATTTTAGTTTGCTGATTCCTAAAATGTTGATGTTCACTCTTGCCATCTCCTGTTTGACCACTTCCAATTTGCCTTGATTCATGGACCTAACATTGCAGGTTCCTATGCAATATTGCTCTTTACAGCATCGGACTTTACTTTTGTCACCAGTCACATCCACAGATGTGTGTTGTTTTTGCTTTGATTCTGTCTCTTCATTCTTTCTGGAGTTATTTCTCCACTCTCCTCCAGTAGCATATTGGGCAACCTACNCTGGGAAACAGACTCTTGGAGGGCACAAATAAAATCTTGTGCATACCAGGACCCAGGAGAAAGGAGCAGTGACCCCACAAGAGACTGACCCAGACTTGCCCGTGAGTGTTCAGGAGTCTCCAGCAGAGGCGTGGGTTGGCAGTGGCCTGCTGCAGGGTTGGGGGCAATGAGTATAGCATGGGACCCTTCTAAGGAGGTCACCATTATCTTTATTATTTCCACCATAGTCTGGCCACAGGTCAAATAACAGGGAGGGAAGACAGCCCCGCCCATTGACAGAAAATTAAGGATTTATTGAGCATAGCCCCGCCCATCAGAACAAGACCCAGTTTCCTCCTCATTCAGTCTCTCCCATCAGGAAGCTTCCATAAGCCTCTTATTCTTCAGAGGGTAATGGGATTAGTGACCTTAAAAAAGAGACCCAGGAGAACTCCCTTCCCCCTTCTGGTAGTAATAATACCCATCTACCTGTTGTTATTGTTCTTGTTCTTGTTTATTCACTAAGTTGTGGTCAACTTTCTGCAATGCCATGGACAGGAACCTCCAAGGCTCCTCTGTCCATGGGATTTCCCAGGCAAGAATACTGGAGTGGGTTGCCATTTCCTTCTCCCAGGGAACTTCCCTACCCAGGGATCAAACCAGCGTCTCCTGTGTCTCCTGCATTGTAGGAGGACTCTACCACTGAGACACCAGGGAAGCCCATACAATAAGATGATGCAGATGAAAAGTTTAGCATAGAGCCTGATATACACAATTTCAGGTATTTATTGTTAGTACAGAGGAGAGCAAATGTCCATTAGTCCATTTATTCATTCAAAGTGATATTGATTGGATGCATCCTGGCTTCCAGCCACTATGCTAGGCAGGTAGATCCTGTTGTACAAGATCATATTAGCTATGTACATCTGTAAGAAGAGGAATGAAATAATGAGGGTGGCATATTTGAACTTTGCCTGGCTGAGGCAGAAATGAGAAGAGACTATTGAACACTGTTTATATATCTAGCCTGGGGGCAGGGTTGGTACATCCTTGAGTTTGCCATGCCTTTGACTACCTACTTCTTTGTCTTTACATGAGCTCCACTCCTGGCCAAATTTCTTCTTGTTGTTGTTCAGTTGCTAGGTCGTGTCCGACTCTTTGCGACCCCATAGACTGCAGCACGCCAGGCTTCACTGTCCTTCACTATCTCCCCGAGTTTGCTCAAACTCATGTCCACTGAATTGGTGATGCCATCCAACCATTTCATCTTCTGTTGTCCCCTTCTCCTCCTGCCTTCAATCTTTCCCAGCAGCAGGGTCTTTTCCAGTGAGCTGGCTCTTCACTTCAGGTGGCCAAAGTAAGGTCACTTGACTTCACACTCCAAGATGTCTGGCTCTAGGTGAGTGCCCATACCATCATGGTTATTCAGATCATTAAGACCTTTCTTATATAATTCTTTTGTGTATTCTTGCCACATCTTCTTAATCTCTATGTTTCTGTTAGGTCCTTACCATTTCTGTCCTTTATTCTGCCCATCTTTGCACTAAATGTTCCCTGGTATCTTTAATTTTCTTGAAGTGATCTCTAGTCTTTCCTATTCCATTTTGTTCCTCTATTTCTTTACATTGTTCATTTAAGAAGGCTTTCTTATGTCTCCTTGCTATCCTTTGGAACTCTGCATTCAAATGGGTATATCTTCCCTTTTCTCCTTTGCTTTTGGCTTCTCTTCTTTTCTCAGCTATTTAAGGCCTCCTCAGACAACCATTGTGCCTTCTTGCATTTCTTTTTCTTGGGAATGGTTTTGATCACTGCCTCCTGTAGAATGTTATGAACCTCCATCCACTGTTGTTGTTGTTTGTTTTTTTGGTCCACTGTTGTTGATCATGTACTCAGTAATGTCTGACTCTTTGCGACCCCATGGACTATAGCATGCCAGGCTTCCCTGTACTTCACTGTCTCTCAGAGCTTGATCAAACTCATGTCCATTGAGTTGCTGATGCCATTCAACTATCTCATCCTCTGTCATCCCCTTTTGCTCCTGACCTCAATCTTTCCCAGCATCAGGGGCTTTTCTAATGAGTCAGCCCTTCACATCAGGTGGCCAAAGAATTGGAGCTTCAGCTCAGCGTCAGTTCTTTCAATGAACATTTAGGACTGATTTCCTTCAGGATGGACTGGTTGGATCTCCTTGCAGGCCAAGGGTATCTCAAGAGTCTTCTCCAACACCACAGTTTAAAAGCATCAATTCTTTAGTGCTCAGCCTTGGTCCAACTCTCACTTCCATCCATGACAACTGGAAAAATCATAGCTTTGACTATATAGACCTTTGTTGGCAAAATAATGTCTCTACTTTTTAATATTCGTCTAGGTTTGTCATAGTTTTTCTTCCAAGGAGCAACTGCCTTTTAATTTTGTGGCTGAAGTCACTATCTGCAGTGATTTTGGAACCCAAGAAAACAAAGTCTGTCACTCTTTCCATTGTTTCCCGATCTATTTGACATGAAGTGATGGGACCAGATGCCATGATCTTAGTTTTCTGAATGTTGAGTTTTAAGCCAGGTTTTTCACTCTCCTCTTTTACCTTCATCAAGAGACTCTTTAGTTCCTCTTCGTTTTCTGCCATAAGGGTGATGTCATCTGCATATCTGACATTATTGATATTTCTCCAAGCAATCTTGATTCCAGCTTCTGCTTCATCCAGCATGGCATT